AAATAAATATATATATATACTAGAGTTATTATTTATTTATTACTTATCTATTACTCTATCTAAGTAATAAATTATAATTTATTAGTTATAGCCTCTATAAGGCTCTATACTATATATAACTTTATATAGCCTAATAGAGGTTTTTATTTATAATATAATATTCTCTCCCTATTAGTCTTATTCCTAAGGTTAGGTTACTATTCTATACTAACTTTAGTATATATTTAGCTCTATATTTATCTATTATATATTATACTAATAAAATATCTAGTTATATTCTAAAATAAAAGAAATCTGATTTAGTATATAAATATACTTAGAAATTAGAATATATTCTTACTTATAGTTTTAAAGTTATTCTTTATACTTACTATATAGAGAAAAATATAAATTACTTTATTATTCTGAGTTTAAATTATTATATAATATATATCTATTTTAGTTATTTATATAATAGTACTTATTCTCTAATATCTTTAAATAAATATCTTATCTTATACTATATATCCTTTCTAACTTTTTATAGTTAAGAAAATTAATAAGAAGTTATTCTATCTAGAGGATAAGAAATCTAAGGTAGAAATAGAATTAGTAGTAGTATTTATATAAATTTCTAAACTATATAAGATATAAAAATAGCTTTATAAGAAGGATATAGAGATACTAAAAAAAGGATTAGATAATATAAAGAAGTTAGAAAAGAAAAAATAAAAAAAAGTAAAAGAGAAAAGTTATTAGAAAAAACTAGAGTAAATATAGATTTAGAAAGTTAAACTTACTTTCTAAGTTTAGATATTATATATTATATAGATAGTTAACTTTTCTAGTTTTTTCTTTAATCCTTCTATAGAGAATCTCTTTAGTAGTATTACTTAAAGTAAGATTACTAATCCTTCTTCTTCTTCTAATAATACTAGTATATTAAATATTAATACTTCTTTAGGTATTTAACTAGTTTCTATATATTATTACTTTTATTATAGCCTTTCTATTTTATTAAATAAAATATTTAT